GCAATCATTTACAAACACACCAGGAAGGGATCGAAGCAAGGCAGAGAATGCCTGCGTACTATTCATACCTGGCTTCACCAAAATCTCAGTATACCACGATGCTCTGTCCTCCTCTCACACCATGATTTTTCTCATCATTTCAGAGTGTGATGCCTACACGATATAAACAAGTATATTTATGTTTATCTAATTATAATTAATATATAAAATACAAATCACATAGATAGGAAGTGGTGCTGTGGCTCAAGTGGTAGAGCACTAGCCTTGAGCTAAAGAGCTGAGGGACAGTAACCAAGCCCAGAGTTCAAGCCCCACAACCCACAAAAAAAAAATCACATAGATAATTTTATAATTTATATAGAATTTGTGTATTATATATTTTATATATATATATCTAAAGACAATATATAATTTATATGTACATAAGTATATAAATATATGTAAATAACTGGGCAGCAGTGGCTCATGCCTGTAATCTTAGCTATTAGGGAGGCTGAGATCTGAGGACTTCGATTCAAAGCCAGCCTGGGCAAAAAGTTCCCATGAGACTCTTGTCTCCAATGAAAAACTCAGTAACTGGAAGTGGAGCTGTAGCTCAGAGTGGTAGAGTGCTAGCCTTGAGCAAAAGATCTCAGAAATAGCATCCAGGAAGTGCCACAATCAACCAATCAAAAAAAATTATACACACACACACACGCACGTGTGTGTGTGTGTGTGTGTCCAGCCTCAAACTGAGATCTTCCTGCCTCTGCCTCCTGAGTGCTGGATCCTGGAATACTTCTCTCAAGCACAAGGCTAGATGGCCACAGCTGTGAAACAAGCTCAGATTTGCCTCAGATACAGTATTGAATCTGTTGCTCCCATTTTGATTTAGCCCACTGTCCTAATAAAACCCTTTGTGTTGCCTGGCCCCCAGCGTCCAGCCGGCATCCAAGGCCATGACCTGCACTCATTTGTCCAGGTCTAGATGCCTCAGGTCCCAAGCACATGAAGATGCCATAACACAGGACCAGGTGGGGTAAATTGAAGATGCGTGTCTTTAGATGTGGGCTCCATGAACTGATGGTTTTGTAAATATTATAATGATATAATGGCTCTATGATAATGCACTGTGCTTGGGATTGTGTGAGGGTTAAGAGTTAACTTGTTAAACATGCTGATTTCAGAATTCTTATGGTCTTTTGTCAGTCGTGGGTTTGAACACAGGACCTGGGTGATGTCTTTGAGCTCTTTTGCTCAAGGCTAGCACTCCACCACTTAGAGACACAGTGCCACTCCTGGTTTTCCAGTGGTTTATTGGAGATAAAGAGTCTCATGGATTTTCTTGCCAGGGCTGGCTTTGAATGGTGATCCTCAGGTCTCAGCCTCCTGGGTAGCTAGGATTACAGGTGTGAGCCATCAGTGCCCCACCTGGCTCTACTTTACTCTAAATGGGCATCTCATAGAAGTGGAAGTAGTTTGGGTTGCCAGAAAGGAATACCAATGTGGGGGTGGTATGCTGAGTTGTATGCCTTGCTTAGCTTCGAATACTATGCAACCAACGGCCCATTACACTCTCTCTCTCTCTTTTTTGGGTCCGGTCGTGGGGCCTGAACTCTGGGCCTGGGCACTGTCCCTCAGCTCTTCAGCTCAAGGTTAGCCCTCTACCACTTGAGCCACAGCACCACTTCCGGCTTTTTTCTTTTTGCTTATGTGGTGCTGAGGAATCGAACCCAGGGCCTCTGGCATGCAAGGCAAGCGCTCTACCACTGAGCTACCTTCCCAGCCCCGTCTGTGAGACTCTTATCTCTAATAAACCACCAGAAAACTGGAAGTAGTGCTGTGGCTCAAGTGGTACAGCACTCGCCTTGACCTGAAATGCTGAAAGACAGTGCCCAGGCCCAGAGTTCAAGGCCCCAAAAAAGAGTTCAGGGACAGAGCACAGGCCCTGAGTTCAAGCCCTACGATGGACACACACACACACACACACAAAGCTATCATCTCTGAGGCATATGTGTGGCCATATACACACACATGTAATACACACACATATACACTTATTTGTAGTTAGTTCCCCTCTGTGGGAACCCCTGAATCCTAGGTTAACAGAATTTACCCTCTAAGAACCAGCTCAGTTTATTCTCTGTTGTGTCTTTTGAACTGTGAATTGAGTGAATGTGCCACCCACTTGTTTTTTTTTTTTTTTTTTTTTTTTTTTGTCGGTCGTGGGGCTTGAACTCTGGGCCTGGGTGCTGTCCCTCAGCTCTTCAGCTCAAGGCGAGTGCTCTACCACTTGAGCCACAGCACCACTTCCGGTTTTTTCTGGTGGTTAATTGGAGATAGGAGTCTCACAGTCTTTCCTGCCCCGGCTGGCTTTGAACCGCGATCCTCAGATCTCAGCCTCCTGAGTAGCTAGGATTACAGGCGTGAGCCACCGGCGCCCGGCTTGTGCCACCCACTTGTAAGGAGCCAGTGTGAGCAGAAGTGTCCATCCCATGTTCCATCTCCTTCCTTCCTTCTCTTCTTTTCTTTTTTTTCTGGTCCTGGGGCTTGAACTCAGGGCCTAGGTGCTGTCCCTGAGCCTCTTGTGCTCAAGGCTAGCACTCTACCACTTACGCCACAGCACCACTTCTGCATTTTTCTGAGTAGCTTATTGGAGATAAGAGTCTCCAGGACTTTCTTGCCCCGGCTGGCTTCAAGCCATGATCCTCCGATCTCAGCTTCCTGATTAGCTAGGATTACAGGTGTGAGTCCCTAGCACCCAGCTCTGGGAAGCATTTTTTGGTTGTTCCTTAGCTGGCGTGCTAGGGTGCAAATTCCCAGAGCTGTGTTCTGCTGGCACATGCAGGTTCCTGCATGTGCACTCTACTTCCATAAAAAAAAGGCTTGGCTGAGTGGCTGCTGAAGCACGTGTTTAATGAATGCACTGCAGGCAGGTGTGCACTGGAGGCTGTTTAGGATGGGTTATTATTTTTTTTAAGAGCATGGAGTATTTGAACTTTTTACAATGAAGACATAAGCAGAAAATACAAGTGTATATATATATATATATTTTTCCCCCAGAAATAGTAACCAGTTGGGTACTTCTGGAGGGGCTACCGGAAGTTGCTAATGGCAGTGCTCTGGAGAGGAGCTGGGGGGGGAGATGGGGGGGGTAGAGTTCTTTGATGCTCACTGTATACTACTGCATGCATCTTGAACTGTTTACCCAGTATGCAAAATGGCCTGTTAAAAACTACTTAACAAAGCAAAACAAACACTTTCTGTTCTTGCTGGTGAGAGCTTGGGCCAAGGAGGCCCAGAGGGGTCAAGCAATATCTCAGGGGGTCACCCAGCAAATCTGTTGCAGAAGTGGGCTTCCAGCCCAGAGCACCCAAGCATCTTCTCTGCCCCCACCTCCAGATTTCCTGCCATTGACAAGGTCACAGGCCTTTTCCTGTGGCCTTGCCAGAGGCTGCCTGTACCTGGAGCAGGGTCTGTTCTACGTGTGAGAAGACTGCAGGCAGTAACATGGAGTGCTTGTTCAGTGGAAGTAGAGGGTATGAATAGACCTGGCAGAGGTAGTGGTAGCTGTGTGGTATTCCTGAATGCCTCTTAGCTAGGCCTCACAGGGACCCTGGCCAACCCTGGGAGCCATGCGCTCCTGACTAGCTCTTGCTGTCCTCGGCTCAGCTGGATCAAGTGCCACAGAAACTTATCCCTGCCTTCCAGAGCGCCCAGCGCTGGCACTCCACTGGGGCAAAGGAAGGACTGCTTCGGGCTTTAAAAGTAGACAAACCCCTGGGCAATGGTGACTCACATCTGTAACCCTAGCTACGCAGGAGGCTGAGATCTGAGGATCCAAGCCAGCCCAGGGCAGGAAAGTCCATGAGACTCTTATCTCCAATTAACCACCAAAAAGCCAAAATGGAGCTGTGGCTCAAATGGTATAGCACCTAAGCCCTGAGTTTAAGGTCCAACACTGGCAAAGAAAAAGAAAAGAGGCAGACTTCAGGATGTGGGGTAGGAGGGAGTACGGGGTTGTCACTTGCCAGGTGCTTGTTGTCATTAGTCCCCCAAATCATCCCAGCTAAAACAGGGGTGACAACACCTGCCCTCAGCACTGGGGGTGTACCCTGGCGGTGGCAGCATGGACGGGACAGGAACAGGGACAATGAGTGTACAGGCGCCTTGTGAAGTGCAATGATGATCAGCTAATATGGGGCTCACCTCCCTGGATGACAGCAAGCTCCCTTAAAGGCATGAGGAAGGAAGAGGCAAGGTGGACTGTTCACTAAGTATGCCCATCATAAAATCCGGTGACTGAGGCATCTGGGAGGACAGGGAGAGGGGACTTTGTACCTCAAGACATCTCGTGGCTTTTGAGTTTTGAACCATGGATCTCATCGTTATTTGCAAATAAATAAAACGAGCATTTCTTTACCCACCACACCAGACAGCAAATGGTGTTTAGGACATCAGATAAATGGCAGGCAGTGAGGGAGGCTGGTGCTCTCCACTTCCACATTAGCCACCTGCTTGCTCCAGCCTCTGCTCCAGGGCTCAGCAGCCCAGGGCATGGCCCAGCCTTTCTCTCTTCCCAGGTAAGGGTCTGCATCCGACCTCAAGCCCACTGGTCCTTCCCTTCCTTATCTGGGAGGAGAAAGATACTTTTTTATTTAAAAATACTTTTATTTTAAACCCACCAATTCTCTTTCTCTCTCATATACATCTCATGTACACACAAACACACATGCGCGCACACGCACACACACACACACCTGTCACCAACAGTTTTTGGTTTTCCAGAAGTTCTTTCTTGCCTCAGCCTGGCCATGGTGGACTCAATGGGTCCTCAAGGCTCTCCAGGGTGGGGTGGAGACCTCCCAGGGACTCTGCCCACCCGGTCCTGGTCCCAGGCCATTGTCCCTGGTCCCTAGGCAAAGAAGGGATGGCTTGGCTTCTGAGGTCTTCTCCCCTGTCCAGCTCCTGGCCTCTTTCTCTGGGGTCCTGCTTGAAGCAAATGCCGTAGGGGCCCAGGCTCATCTCCGTGGCCCTCGAAGGGGAGCCACTCCCCTGACTTTCAAGCAGCTGCCCCCCAGCTCACGACGGCCACCCTGCAGAAGGAGAGGAAGAGGGGTTAGGAGGAAATACCCTTATGCCTAGCAATTCAGCTTGACAACCCATCCCCGTTCTGTCACACTGCAAGCAGAAGGAACTCCAAGCAAGCAGGGGGTGCCGTGTAGAGGCCTTGCTTAGAAGAGAAGCAAGGGCAGAGCTGATTGCTCATAAGTGGAAGTTTCTAGAGAAGAGCATGTGGGAAATGGCTGATGGGTGTCCCTCAGACAGGATTTGGTGCAAGCACGCAGGATGGGAGGGAGCTGGGATGGGAAGATACTTCTTTACCTTCTTATCCCTTCCCTGCTCATCAGTGGCTTTTAAAACCATCCTTACAGAAGGACAGTTACTAGCCTTTCGCAAAAAAAAATATCAAGTGGAACCAGGCTACAGTGGCTCACACCTGTAATCCTAGCTACTCAGGAGGCTGAGATCTGAGGATCACAGTTCAAAGCCAGCCCAGGCAGGAAAAGTCCGTGAAACTCTTATCTCCAATAAGCCACCAGAAAACTAGAAGTGGCGCTGTGGCTCAAGTGGTAGAGCACTAGCCTTGAGCTGAAGAGCTGAGGGACAGCACCCAGGCCCAGAGTTCAAGCCCTACAACCAAAAAAAAAAAAGTTGAGTGGGCCAGGTGCTGGTAGCTTGTACCTGTAATCCTAGCTCCTCAGGTTAAGAGGCTGAGATCTGAGGATCATGATTTGAAGCCAGCCCAGGCAGGAAAGTCCCTAAGAATCTTATCTCCAACAAACTACTCAGAAAAGGCCAGGAGTAGAGCTGTGGCTCAAGTGGTAGAACTTAGCCGTGAATAAAGCTCAGAACAGCATTCAGGTCCTGAGTTCAAGCCCCAGGACCAGCACATACATGCATACACACAAAAAAGTCAAGTGAGAATAAGAGGCCTTGCATTCAAGCCCCAGTGCAGATCAACTAAAACAATCATCACATACATGTGTATGCATATATAATATACTTTGTGTATGGAGGGGTCTTATGCATCTAAGCATGTATCCTAGTATCTGAAATTTTAATATGTTATAAAGAATAATCTTGCCGGGTCCTGGTGACTCATGCCTGTAATCCTAGATACTCAGGAGGATGAGATCTGAGGACGACAGTTCAAAGCCAGCCCGGACAGGAAAGTCTGTGAGACTCTCTATCTCCAATAAACCACCAGAAAACCAGAAGTGGCACTGTGGCTCAAAGTGGTAGAGTGCTCGCCTTGAGCTGAAGAGCTGAGGAACAGCACCCAGGCCCAGAGTTCAAGCCCAACAACAGACCAAAATAATAATAATAATAATAATAATCTTTTACATTAAAGGGCCAGCTACCTTCCATGGTCTTGGCACAGCCTGGCTGAGTCCACTGTGTCTGCCTCATTGCCACCAGTATACCATGGATTCCTGGCCTGTGTGTGTGTGGGGGGGGGGGGGCGGGTCTTCACTTCACTGAGAACATATTCTCCCCCTCTCATCTCCCTGGGATGGTTTCTCCTGAAACTGCCTAGCACTTCCAGCTTTTGGGATGCATTGCCCAGGGAAAAAGGCAGGGACTTGCCTTTATTCCCTATCAGGCCAGGGGCTCAGGGAAAAGACATTCCTCATTCTGAGGCTTCACTTCTAGCCCAGGCTGGCGTAGAGCAGGTGCCAACCAACGTGGCTTGGATTGGGTGGTGGCCACACAGCTTTCATCCCTACTGGACACCAGAGGGGTCACAGCTGCCAGAGTGCTCCTGATGGGGGCTCCAGTGTTGAGCGACTAGCCCAGAGGCACCTGGCCCCCTGGTAAAAGAGCCAGGCTAGAACGCACACTGTCCAGCAAGCTGTCCTATGTCAGGAACACAACACAGTAAATGCTCACAGCAGAGGACTGGCTGACCAGATGTGAGCTTTGTCCCTGCCCGCCCTCCACCCCCACCCCTAGCCCTGGCCCAGGTTGGGGCAGATCCATCCAGATGTGAGCCCAGCCTCCCTGGAGGCTCGCTGGGCCCAGGGACAGCATGTTCACTAACAGGCAGGGCTATTTTGAGGGCTGAGGCCATGGTCCCAGAGCCTGGGGCCTGGGCTTCTCAGACAAACTTTGGCAGGAGAGGCTGAGGAGAGTGGAGTGGAGTGCTGAGGTTGGGGTAGAAAACTGGCCTCCCTTCCTTTCACTCAAATCCTCAGGGATGGCGAGCATTACCTTCTACCTCAAGTAGGGGCTGTCTGGACCCTGGGTCCCGTGAGAATGTTGGGACAGCTCCCTTCCCTGAACCTCAGTCTCACCTAGGACATGGACCCAAAATAATCCCTCGAATCCTGGGACCACCTGAATATCAACTGCCAAGAGAGCAAAGAAGAGATCCTGGCAGACCCTGGTCTGTTTGTCCCTTAGGAACTCAGAGTAAGGGTCTCGGTGAAGCAGTGTGGTTAAGAGTCAGGCTCAAGTGGGACAGTCCTGGCCTACAGTCCTTGAATACAGACTGCTAGCTGGACCCCAGACAAATGACTGTGCCTCACAGAGCCTCAGTTTCCCCATCTGTGCCAGGCAGTTATTTATAAGCTCCATGAGCTCGCAGATTTATATCAAGGTCTTAGCACAATGAAGTAGCCAGGAAGTGTTTACAAGAAGTACCTATTAATCCCTGCCATGCTCTGCACACTACCTCTGCTCCTGAGCCAGCCACACCAATGGGAACAGTCTCACAGGAAGGAGGATCCTGATATGCCCACCTCCAGATGACAAAAGAAAAAATCCAAAGCAGAGATGAGAATGTCCTTTCCATCTTCCACACACTCTTGCTATGACAGAGGCCCAGCCCTCAGCTGTCCTCAAGCAGGAAGGAGCCACAGGGACTGCTTTCATGGAGACCTAAGGCCACACCAGGATGAGAGGGAAGTAGAGGCTCAGAGCGAAGGGCCAGGGTCTGGGACCTTGGAGCTTCTCAGTCTCAGAGCTCAGAAGGGAGCAGGGCTTCCCAAGACAAGCCAGTTTCCTTCCAGTTGAGTCCTTGGAGGGACCAGTGCTGGCCAGGATCTCTCCTGGCCAATTCCCAGAGGAGTCTGTGGAGTTGAGCATCATGGCTTCTGTAGCCAAATTTGGCCGGGTTCTTGGTCCCACAGATGGATCCCAGGGAAGTGGCCAGGCCCAGATGAGGCCCTGTGAGCTGTGGGACAGGCCTGAGACCTACAGAAGCTGACTGCCCCCATCCTGTCTGCTGAGTGGACACACACCTTCTTCCCAGGCCTGCAGCTCCCTCATTCCCCAACAGACAGGCCTAAGTTCAACTCCTGCCTCATCACTCACAATAGGACCCTGACCAGTGGCAGCGTTTCCCTGCAGGTGGAAAGAGCCACAGAGTTCTTCTTGCCTGAGGAGGGATCTAAAAGGGTACCTCATGCAGACTGTCCAGCACCAGTCAGCCTTCAGGAGGAGAGCTGTCACTCTCCTCCTGATGGCTGGCCAATCTCTGCCTGCCCTCTTGTGCTCTACCACCTGTAACTTCTTCCCACTTCCTTCTCCAGGCCACAACTTTGAACCCCGGCTCCTGCTGTATCATCTCAAACACCCCTCTTTACCACTTCACCTTGGTTCCCACCCATCCTTCAGGAATTTAGCCAGACCCCAGCGGGAGCTGCCTGCCTCTGGGCTCTGCCAGGCCCTGCTGCTCTCTTTCTCATCATACCACAGCATCCTCGTCTTCATTTCTCAGTCCTGGTTCTGATGCAGCACTAGGAGCATCTGACTGACGTGGGGGACCCACATCTGCTTCTAGGGTACATTCTCAAAGCCAACACAAGGCAGCTTCTGGAGCTCCAGAGTAGGGTGCTTGCTCAGCATGTACAAAATCCAGGGTTCCATCACTAGCACCATGAAATAATAATAAAAGTAATAGTAATAATTTTCAGAAAGCATCTGCTGGGCAGTTTAGGGCTGCTGAACTGGATGAAGGGATGGAAGGTGGTCAGGGAATACCAGGAAGCCCACTCAGCCCTCATGTCCCCAACTTCAGCCTGGAGGCCCAGTCCTGGACTTCCCACCTCAGCCTGGGGCAATGAGCGTCCACAGCTGGGAACTGCAGGGACCCTGGAGAAGATATAAACCAGAGGCTAAGAAGACTGACCAGGGAAACTAAGGCAGCCAAGGGGTGAGAAGCCAGTCTGGGGGTCTGGAGGTCTGGGGCCAGGGCACAAGGTAAACAAGTGATTTAGGGCAGACTTGGTAGCCAGAATCTGTCCTAGGATCATTGTCCTGACTACAGGTCCCATGGCCTGACTGACCACTGAGAGCCATTCAGAGCTCTCTGAGCCTCAGTTTCCCCATATGGCACATAGACTGGCTTCCTCAGTTTAGGAAAAGCCCACACCAGAAGGAAGGAGAGGCTGGGGACAAAGCATGCTGGTTGGGGTCTGGTAAGGGCTGAGGGCCACCCAGCCCTACCAACCAGATCAGCAGGACCAGCTTGGCCTGAATCCAGACTTAGGACCCATCTCAGAGCCTCAGAACAGCTCTGTCCAACCCACTGTTCCTTTGGGGGCTGGGGACTGGCAGGGACCCCCTGCTTCCTCCTGATCAGCTGGGTGCCTCAGCTCCGAGTTGGAGGCGTGTCTCTATTTCTTTGCAGTCTGCAGCTTGTGAGTCAGGTCTTAAGATGAGGGTCACTTCATTTGAGATGGGGATATACTGCTCGGCAAGGCATACCAGCAATCGCAGCGCCTACCCACCGTAAACGCAGGCATGCGACTTCATCTCCCTGAGCCTCAGATGAGGCTGATCAGTTCATCGCCATGAACGGAAGGGTTAACCTACCACCTGCTAGACTCTCTCCTGAAGGTCAAGAGGAGGCCAGGCACCAAGCACAGAGGAAGCAAGAGCTCCATCAAGGTCGGTTTTCATTACTCTGCTCCTGTCTTCTTCCCAGATGTAAAGGCATCCCTGGGAACCTCTAGCTAGAGGGGGCGCCCCTCGATTAAATGGGCCCCAGGTTCTGGGTCTCCCTGCGCCCTTTCGGTTTGGAGGAACTTAGTGACTAGCTGTAATAAAACCCTACCTCAGGCGCCCATCACTAACCCCACGTCCCCTCCTTGACACAAGGGGAGGGGGCTCTGCCCCTCCAGGGCTCCCTAGAAGCCCCCGTCCCACGCCCTGCGCGCACCCCGCATCGGCCGCCCCGCGCACTCACCCCCTTGCGCTGGTTGCTGAGGCAGAAGGTGCAGATGGAGCGCGGCTGGCGGCCGTCGGCGGGGACGGCGCTCTTGGCGCTGCCCGCCGCGCGGAAGCACGGCTGCCCGTCGTCGGCCGCGTCGCCCAGGAGCAGCACGTTGGCCAGGTGCGCGATGTAGCTGGACGCCAGGCGCAGCGTCTCGATCTTGGAGAGCTTGCGGTCCACCGGCTCGGTGGGGATGAGCGTGCGCAGCGCGGTGAAGGCCGTGTTCACGCTCTGCGTGCGGTCCCGCTCCCGCGCGTTGGCCGCTTGCCGCTGCCGCACCACCACCACGGGACCTGCGCCGCC